TGAACTGCGGGGGGTGCACAAACCCCATGGGAGCCAGGAGAAGCAGGAGTGGCAGCAGAGGAGCTGCCGGGATTTGCTGCTGTTTCAGGGCACAGGCGATGTGACTCCCAAATGAGCGATGCCTTGGGTGTGGGTAGAAGGGGAGTCCTGCCTGCAGTCTGCCTGCACTTTGCGCACACCCTCCCTCCCCATTGCCCCCGGAGCAAGCGCCGATCCCGTGCCTCCTAGCTAGACAAGCGCAGCACTGTTCAGGGAGGCAGGGTGCCTGCCCGGGGCTGGCACTGCCTTCGGGGCTGGCGGGGACAGCGTCCCCCTGCCAGGGCTCCCGGGGGGTGGCCCCAGCTGGCGGGGAGCAGGGCTTCACAGCCAGAGCCCCCCCACGGCTGCTGGGCACAGTTTGCCTGCGGCTCCAAGGCAGCAAAGCTCCCTTGCAGCTGGAGAGGCGCTGCTTTCTCCCCAAAATACTCGCAGAGAAGCAGGGAGGAGCAGCAGGGCAGGAGAGCAGCCCTGCACGCTGACCTTGAGCAATTCCCCTCTCCACAGGCCTCACACGGGCGCATCAGACCTCAGCTTCTTCCTGGTGATGCCAGTGCAGAGGGTCACCAAATACCCGCTGCTGCTGGGGAAGATCCTGGAGAACACCCCCGCCAGCGCCAGTGCCTACCCAGCCCTGCAGGCAGCCGTCCGCGCCATGGCCCAGGTCAACGCCAACATCAACGAGTACAAACGGCGCAGAGAAGTAGGTGAGTGGGCAGGGGGCACAGCATCTGGGAAGCCCCGCAGCCATCCCAGCCCCAGCCATCTCCCCTTGGTGTTGCACTAATTCCCACTTAAATCAGTTCAACGCTCTCCTGCCCTCCATCCTGCCTGGTGGAGCTGCAGACTCAGACCAGGCATTTGCTCTGGTCCTGCAAATGCCACTCGGGGTGAGAACTGAAGGCTGCAGGAGCAGGGTGGCATGGGGGTGCTGAGCACAAAACCAGTCTGCCTGCATTCCTGGAGCTGGGGAATGGGGAGGAACAGTCCTGCCCTTGGGATATGAGAAATCAGGCTCCCCACAAACGAGACCTTGCTCTTTTTGGTTTTCGTACTACTTTCCCCTCGGGCTGCCCTTCTTTGATGTGGGTTGTGCTTATCCTGTTGATCACAACTTGCTCACCGGGGGCGTTGCCCGCTCAGGCTGCTGAGGATGCTGCCCTGAAGTTTCCTCTTCTGATCTTTTTTCCTCCCGCCTTGTGTGCCCTGACCCGAGGCAGCAACCAAATACAACAAGGCCGAGCACCTGACGCTGCGGGACCGCTTCGCACGCCTCAACACGCACTCCATCGCCAAGAAGACCACGCGACTGAGCCGGCTCTTCATGCACGAGGCCGGCATCGTGGCCAAGGTGGGCAGCCCGCGCCTCGCCGCCTGCAGACCCGCTGTGTCTCCTTGGGTCGTTTCTGGGGCTTTCCACTGGCCCCCGAGACGCCTTACCAGCGGAGCCGAGGTGGTGTGGCCAGTGCTGACACCCAGTGGCCCATGCTGTCACAAGCCACTGTCCCGTGTTCGAGCAGCCTAAGGATGACTCCTGGTCCCCAATCCCAAGGACCAGCGGGGTAGGAGCGATGCAGGTACACACCTCGCTCCCTGCCTCCGAGCACTGCAGGGGAGTGCGTTGACTCCCAAAGGACCCACAGGATCCTCAGGCACCCCAGCGAGAGTAAAGACACCCTGGTGTTCCCCAGCACTGCAACTACACCAAAAGCCACGTTTCCACACGCATCCCAAGCACCCTAGATCTTTGCCCTTTTCCAATTTCTGGAGCTTCGCAGGGTCTCCCCTGCCTGTCCCCAGCACTGTGAGGTGCAGGCAGGTGCCTGCCTGCTTTTTACATTAGCACCCAGTGAGGGGCATCAGCCCTGCCCAAGGCATTGCCTGGCCTGCCCGTGCTGGGAATAAACTGCCCCTTGCCTTGCAGATGGAGGACAAGGAGTACGACAGCCTGGAGGAGAAGTTCCAGTGCGTGGCGTCCAGTGTGGCTGTGCTGAAGGAGAATGTGGCGTCCTACCTGGGCCATTTAGAGGTAAAACCCTGATAACTTGCAGGGGGTTGGCCCCATCCAGGCCTCAGGACCCGTTCCTTGGGGTTGCAGAATACTTTCAAGCCCTATGGAAACCAGTGTCAGTTGGGGATGTTCAGTGACTTGCATCTCTCAGCAAAAGATGTTGTGCCAGGGGCTTGCACAACATGCAAGGATCACTCAGGTCCAGCAGAGCTTAAAACAAAGTCGAGGCTTCGTTGACACAGTCTAAGCTGGGTGTCATTTGAGAATAATCAGTCCTTAAACTGATCATTATTTCAAGGCATTAAATAGCTGAGAAGGCTAGGTGTTGTTCAGCCCAGGAATTCTTGCCTAACAGGTATAAGGCAGAAGTGTTCCCAAATCAGGGAAACAACAAAACTTGCCTTCTGAGATGACCTGGCTGAGTAGCTGCTGTGATTTTCTCATGGAAATCCCTTGGGGCATCTGAGGGAAATGAAAATATGAGCAATGGCAAAGCTTGAAACCCCCAGGCACTGTATTATAAGGAAAGTCTCAGGAAATGGCAGAGGGTTCAGAAAGCAGCAATTCAAGGGCTGGAAAGACCTTGTCATGAAAACATTGACAAGGGCTCCCCATATAGGATTAGAAAGGAGGAAAAGGGGACAGAAAGATTCCCTGTAGCCCAAAGAGTGGGTAAAATAGGATTAGAATAGAAAACATGAGGATGGCAATCTGTACGACAGTGAGATGTGGCATCAGCTAGGGGGACAGGGTATGACCGATCCTCAGGACATCGAGTGCTCCTGGGGACCTGCCTGGCACTGCCCCTCGGTGAGCGTTATCTCCGCGAGCCAGCGTCTTGGCTTCAGCCAGGACATCAAGTGTCTGCAAATAGGCTGGGCAGCCTAGATAAGCTGGGGTTAGGAGTCATGCTGGGGCTTGGATGCAGCTTCAGAGGAGCTGCTGGTGGGGCTGCGTGCATGCCCTATCTCTCTCCCTCTGGAAGCTTCTCAAAGACATCCTGAGGAGCTGATGGAGACATGTTCTCGTAAGGCAGAGCCAGCCCGGCCTCTCTGTGCCAGCTGGCAGTCCCCTCTTGTGCGTCTGTCTGCACCAGTGCCCCCACCACAAGGGGAGGCAAATCTTGGTGCATACAAGATCATCACAGCCACCTCTACCCCTATAGGGTTGAGGAAAAGCGCACAGGTCTCGGAGCTGCCGCCTGCTCAAAGGGTCAATCCCTTTCCCCTTTTATATTTCCATCTCCAGCCCCTCCTGTGGCAAGGAGGACTACAAAGGAAGGGTCTCCTAAACATGACCATGGGAAAAAAAACCCAGGATTTAGGACAGAGATGGGCCTCTCTGCGTGCCCTGATGGCAGCTGTGGTTGATGAGAATCAAACAGAAACTGCTCCTGCTGCTCCAGGACTGACTGGAGGAGCAACGCTCCCAGGGCAGCACAGCCGAGGCCAGGAGGCCAGGCTTCCCTCGGCGCCAGCAGCAGGCTGGGGCTCTGGGAGCTCAGTGCTCCCCTTTCCCGGTCTGGAGGTTGCGGGTCAAAATCCACCTCCGGGCAGGAAGGCTGCTGCTGCCCACAGAGTTAACATGAGAGCAAAGTCTCTCAAAGCAGAGGAGGGTCTCCACCCAAACCATCCCTAGCTGCCTGCCTTTCCCACCAGTCCCACTCTCCATGCAGAGGCAGGAGGAAGATTTTGTACAAAAGTACAAGAAATTCCATGGAGCTACTGGAGCACCAAACCCAAGTGTCAAAGCACCATCAAGCTGGGGCAGGCTGCCTGGGGCCACAGGGCAGCCTAGGCCACCTTGCTGGGGTAGGAATGCTTTTGCAAGCCAGTGCATAACCCCTACTCAAGGGGAGAAGTTTGTTAACACCTAAGCGAGCTCCCTAGCTTGCAGACAAGAGTAGCCCAGAGCATCAGTTCCACCAGGCTGCTAGCACAGAGCACCCAGGCTGGGACATTGGCATGTCTTTGGGAACACAGGGATAGGTTACAGATGGGTTAGCTAGTGTTGGGCAGCTTCTGCACGTCAGGTCTCATGGCTTTCTCCCTTTCAGGCATTCCTATTGATGAGGGACCTGCCCAGCAGTACCGCCGCTTCGCAGAGTACCTCCATTGCACTGTTTTTCCAGAGTTTGTGAGTGCTCCTTCCCTCTGAATCTCCTTCAGAGTCACAGCCAAGCATCCTCTCACACCTTCTGCCAGCGCACAGCAGGGGCTGGCTCCAGGGCAGGGCAGCCAAGAGCTGAGGGGGACCCCAGTGCAGGCAGTGTCCTCACCAACAGCACAGCCCCCTGGGGCCTGAACGTGAAGGGGCAGATAACAGGGTCCATCAGCAGTCCCAGACACATGAAGTGAAGAACCAGCTCCAGGGTCCAGTCAGGAAACAAAAGGAGACAGGGCCAGAGACATGGCTACAACACAGCTCAGAAGTCCATCCAGGGCTGGAGACAAGCTGCAACATCCATCTGAGGGGTCCATCTAGTAACCAAGCTACCTACAGCAGAAGTCCAAGGTCCACTCAGGAGACAGAGGCAGAAACCAGCTCACCCACAGCAATGCCCAAATACCAGCTGAAGGCCCTTAAATGGGCTGTGGGCAGGGGTGTGGGTGGCGGCCCCAGGTGAGGCTGGTCTGGGCCATTAAAGACTATTTGTGCCTTCAGGGCCCTGACATGTTCCTGGCCGGCCATGTAGGCAGGGCTGCAGTGGAGCACAGGATGGTGGGAAACCAGGCATACTGTTTATGTGACTCACACAAGGTGTTTGCCACCAAACTTCAGTCCAACCTACCCACACCTTGGCATTCACACTCGCTTTTGGGAGCCCAAGAGCCCCCCATCTGTCTCCTTCCACCACCCCTGCTTGGTTCTCCAGGACTCCCGCTTGGGTGGTGGCTGCCACCATGCAGTCAGGGAGGTTTCCCAAGCAGTGAAGAGTGTGGCAGGGCAGCCTGAACCCCGCACCTGGATGCTGGCATCCCCGGGGAGTGCCAGCACGGGGAGGGAGGGCGGCTATGTGGGATAACCACACGGACCCTGGGCTGAGGGCCTCCGTCAAACCAGGACGCTATGGCCTGCATGGGACAGTCACTGTGGCACCCCCCTTGGCCCGTGGGACCTTGCGCCTGAGGGTCCTACCCGGTCACTTGCATGGAGCACAAGTTTTCAATCGTGGCATGCATGACTGCTCCCTGCCGAGGGTTTGCTTTGGTTGGCACCCTATGTGCCTTCAGGGGAGGATGCCTCAGATGCTCCCCACTCCACACCAGCCCTTCAGTGGGTCCCCGAGCCTTTTCTCCTGTGTAAGACAGTGCCCCGTGCAGACAGCTGGGCCTGTCGGGGGGGCTCGTGTGGAGGTGTGGGTTCTCTTGCCCCACAGAAGCGACGGCTGGACAGGCTGGCCCCCCAACCCCTCTGCAGCCTCTCAGACAT